TTTATAAATTTCATAATCATAAATTTCATAATAATAAATTGTACTTATGTCTTTTATGTTTCATCGAGAAGTCTTAAAAAGAATCTTTATTAGATTAATGTGTTTGCATCCACGTTATTAACATTTTGATTATTTATCTTTTATAATTAATTTAAATATTATAGATATATACAAATGATTGAAAACTTAAAAAATATATCATATTCCAAAACAAACAAAACAATAATAAAGTGCAGGACAATCTCTTCTGAGAAAAGTTTATTACTGATGTACTGTGTCTTTTTCAATGTATTAAGAGAAATATTTTCTTATATTTGATAGCGAGTAATTTATTGCAACATATAGATCCAAAATTATATACTTTGTAATAATAAACTGTATGTAATATTTTATTATTAAAACATCAGTAATGAATTATAAAAATTGCATATATATATAAGAATATACAAATCTGATAAAATTTGTGCCAAGTTATAAAAAGGAAAAAAACGAGGTACAATGAAAATCATTATACAATTATGTATAATTCATTCAAACCAAATAATTATAATTTAGATATATTAATTTTATCTATTTTTTTCCGTATAGTGAATAATAGTATATATTTTTATTTTTGGATTTTTACATATTTTATTTATATAAATAGAGATATATATAATTAAAAATATAAAAAAATATGTAATTTATATTTAAAAATATTTTTAAAATTAATTTTAATGATTATATCACATTATATAATAATAATTGTATTCTGACTTTCAAAGTATCTTATAATATATATTTAATAAAAACGAAGCTTTTTAAAAATATTATCATTTTATGAAAATATTTCAATAATTTGAACAAATTTTTATAAATGAATGATCAAACGTGGATCAAATAATTAAAGTTTTTATGTTGATTTTTAATTTTTTACGAACAATCTAATCCAGCTGTTCATATTTTATGCCATGTATAAAATATAGTGAGTATATTGATTATATTTTAAAAATTATCTCTAAATAGTCTTTTTAATTAATGTAATAACGATTATTTAATCGTTAATATCTATATTATGTATAGTAATATTACGTATAAAAGTGCAAGAGTTTTAAACTCTACAGGACAGTAATGTCTTCAAAAAAAATTTAGATATTAAGAATTTAAAAAAAACAGTAATTGAATACACTATATTCAGAGTTTTTTGGCTTCTATTTTCTGAAAAAAAAAAAAAAAAAAAAAAAAAAAAAAAAAAAAAAAAAAAAAAAAAAAAAAAAAAAAAAAAAAAAAAAAAAGATAAAAAGACAAAAATTCAAATCGAAAAGTGATGTTAGTTACATCATCTTATTGCGAATAAATGCATAATAATTAACATGAAAGATACGTTATAACATCATTTGCTCGAAAAAATTTATTAATTAATGTTGTATGTTAATATGTAAAATATCAATAATTACTAAGATAAAAAAGATAAAAAAAAGAATATTTAGGATGGCGAATGAAATATTGTGATAAGTATACTGTATACCTGAGCGTTACATGAACGTTGTAAAATAGTACCATTAAATATTATCATTTATAGCTTTTACTTATAAAAAGAAAATGAAAAAATATTTAAATAGCTATTCATATTTTGTATTTTTATTCTTAATATATTTTCACAAAATATTCGTTGCTTGTACATTTGCAACATATATCATCAATAATTTTAATATTTCACATACCTTATAAAAATTCTTTATTATAACATATTGATACTCAAAAAAAAAAGTTTCTTCATGAATATAACTTTCGAACGAGCTTCAATTCTATATATATATATATATATATATAGAATTATATTATATATATATATTATATAAAATAATGAATCATTATTGCTACGTAAAGTTAAATGAAGTAAACAGTCCCTTATATTGAGTATCTCTATTCCGTGCCAAAAGTATATAGTTTACAAGGGTAACTATTTTTTTTAATAATTTTTCGTAATAAAATTAATTAATTATCATCTTTTAATTACTTATTATTACTTATAAATGCTAAGCAAGACATTCAAAATAGATTATTTAAACAATCTAAAAAAAAGTCTATTAGAATAATTATATTAAATTAAAAAAGATATAATCTGATATTAATAGTTTTTTATAAATAAAGAAATAGAGAAGATAGAAAGATTTAATTTTTTTTTTAAATTTCTTTACTTTTAATAAAATGTTTTAAGACATAATCTATAAAAATCATTTAAAATCTTTAGAAACCAACTATTATGGAAATAATTTTTTCAAGAAATTGCTTTTTAGTAATTTATTTATTTAAACATATTTAATATATATTTGAAAATATTTCGATTTGAATAACGGTATGATTCGATATAATTTTTTAAATAAATTAAATTAGCATAAATTAATTTTATTTTCTTTGCATTATATTAATTTTCAACGACTTAATAACAACATTATTAAATCCTTACGCGCGAATTAAAATAATCTATTACAAATAGAATAAAATATGATTCCATTTAAAAACAAAGCAAAGTTGATTTTTGCATTAATTATTGTGTTAATCTTTATTTGAAAAATGACTCTATTTCTCTATTTAAAAAATAACTTATCATCAGGTTGACAAATCATTTATCTTTCATATTTTTTTTCATTATCAAAGCGTAATATCATTACCATAGGTAGTTTTGTTTTAAATGCCTTAATATTGTATATTGTTTTTATGTCTTTTTTAAAATAATAGTCTGTGTTTTTTTATAATTTTATTCTTCTGTAATTATTCTATTTTAGTTATTATAATAAATTGTTGTATCTACTCAATTATAATTAAAGTAAATCGTAAAAAAAATGTAAAAATTATCCTAAAAGCATTATGATCAGTGTGAATATGTAATGATTTTTCTCACAATTTTTTTCTCTTATACAAGTTGTTCCATTTTATTGCTTAAATATATAAATGGTACTAAAGAACAGTAGAAATATTTTAAATCTATATTTTGTTTCTATATACCTATAAATATAAACATTATTTAAATAATTATATATATCCTATTCAAAATGTTAACTACATTAATACATGAAAAATTTATATATTTAAGTGAAGAATTAGTTATCAGAAATTGAATTTAATTAATTATAATTATATTACTACGAATAAAAATATGTTACTATTCAACGCTGGTCGTAAGAAATATTTATATAACATATAATCGTTGATGTACTTAAGTTTAATAATCGAAACAAAATTTGAGCAGCTGCCGAAATCATGCGGTGTAGATATTTAAATATTATTATATTTTTGTATGTAATATTCTTCGAATCACTAACTCGTATGATACAATGATAAAGAGGCAAAATTAATTTTTGATTAACGAGCCTGAAAATTAGAGAAATATTAAATGTGTATTAATAGAAGAATATTATATTTTGAATAACATTTATATGCACTTTACTCGTGTCTATCGAATAATTATAAATATCGATGTAAAAATCACTATAAAATTTGTTATCTCAAAATTCTAATAAAAAAAAAAGAATTGCACACAAAATTAAATATTGACGATATAAAGATATAAAGATATCTTTCCAAAAAAAAATTAAATTAAAATTTAATTGTACTGATTATAATTAAAAAAATATTGCAATTGTACATATGTATATTAAACAGCAATGTTCTATATATATGCAATCTTATTGTATACTAAAATATAGTAGCTTAGAAAAGATAGTGATTAAATAACATTATCTGTATAAGTATGTATAAGATTATAGAGTATTGTTGGTGATCAGTGTCCAATGAAATTAAAATATAATATTTTATTTAGCATAATATTTTTTATTATAACAAAATTATAGTTTGATATAATTGATAGTTGATATTTTACTTGAATTTAATTTTAAAATAATTGAAATATTTTTTACTAAAAATGTTTTTTTTTTTATATAATCATCATCAAAATAAAAATATAGATAAAAGTTTTGAAACTTTGGTGGCCTAATATTTACAATATTATTAAAATAATAGTGATTAGGACTCTGATCATAATTAAGATGAATGAAACTAAATAAAAACTAGATAAATTTAGAATACTATTTGAAACAAAAATATCATAGTTATATACGATGTATTTTATTCATCAAAAGTGTTATTGTAGCTATTGATATTATCTATATATCTATATAAATATATTTGTGTAAAATATATGTACTTCAGTCAGTTTAAATATTATTATTATACTAGCGTACGATTCAATGTTAAGATGAAAAATCGATATAATGAAGTTTTCTTTTAAAATCAATAGAAAAAATATAATTCAAAAGAAATGTTCTGTTTCCATGGATACATATTTCTATTTAAATTATACAATTATTACAAACTTCGGAATTTTTTCTAAACTTTTTTCAATGTAAAAATTTTATAATTTTTAAATTATATTAAAATTGAAGAATAGATTTAAATAAAGAAACAGAATATTTTTCCTTTTATGATTGATTTTTTGGTTGCGACATATTTTAGATAAAAGTATAAATGAAAAGAAAAGAATGAAGAATCAGAAAATAAAAAGAAACAAAAAGAGATAAATGAAATGAGGAATAAAAATTATATTTTTCCAATATTTAATTGCAACCATTTATTGCGCCTGCCCGTTAATTATCGTCATGTTGTTTTATATATATATTTAATTGTCATTACAATTTTTGAATATTGTAAGACAGATCAATTTATTCCACGTTTTAAGGGACCACAGAATATAGATAAATAATAAACGTACATAATCTTCGTTTTCATTTTTCATCAATTAATCCTTAATTCTTTTTTAATTTTTACTTTCTACATAAATTATTTACATAGGATAAATAGTATCTATTTAGTATTATTAAAATACATACATCTCATATTTATCATATTTTACTTTGACAATTACATTAATATACAATAATATAAAAAGATTTATTTTCGTAACAAATAAATTTTAATTCACGATAAATACTTTCGGAATTTATAACATGTATTAATTTCTATTACCTTTTATATTTATTTTCGAAATCCTTTTTTAGTATATTTACTGCATTTTCTTTTAAATGGTTTAATAGGCTTTGAATTGTTCTCATTATTCTCTAACTTGTCTTTATTACTTTTTCTTCCTAAATCATTAGCTATAGATTTCATTCTTTTGCTTCGAATTAATAATCTACCATTTTTCCTAGTATTTTTAATTTTTATTCTCTTTTTCCTCTTGCGTTTCTTTTTACGATCCATATTAGCTATTATTGCTTCAGTATCAGCGGATATTTTTATTTTCGGTTGTTGAACCGTCACATTTATTCTTACATATAAATCATATATAACATCGCCACAAAATTCACCAAGGCAATATTCTTCTCCACATTCACTACATATTTTTACGCTACTCTCAATCATACCGGCACGATTTTTAGTACGTCTAATGGGACTTATAATTGATCGTTGTTCTTTAGCAATTGTTTTTGCTTCCAGTTTTCCCATTTCCACCTAAAAGATAAATTATGATATGAAATAAAATTATTTGTTAAATATAAGATTTATAAATAAATATAAATAATTATATATAAACATATAAACTAAAGATTAATTAAAAATTAATTTCTCACAGGATATAAGATCTAAATGAAATAATTACTAATCTAGAGAACATTTCTTCATCTTGTCGATTTTTTGGTCTGATAGGTGTTAACATTCTCCAATCAATAGCAACTTGTTGTAATTCGTGAAGATTTAAATCTTTCATATCTGGAGGTATTGGATTTCCGTAATTCCATTCTTTTCCAAATGCTTTCAACTCTTTTTTAGTTGGTTTCCAAGAAAATTCTTTGTCACGCACTTTTGCATCTTCTTTTTTTACCTATTACCGTAATTGTTACTAAATTGTTATTAAATAAGAAAGTTAAATACAATATCATTTTTATTTAAAATATTCTTGTTCAATTTAATGAGTATTTGAAACTTTTTGTTAATTTTATATAATTCTAGCTGAATTAAATTATTCATATCATTTAAACCTTTTCTGGTTTAATTTTAAATTCAGGACAATTCTCCAGAAGTCGTCGGAACTCTTCTTGAGAATTACAAATTGCTTTACTTAGATCAGGTAATAAATTTGCATCCTTCTTATCTTCCTTTAGAAGATCGTCCAATTGGAAGGCCATTATTTATATCTGCAATCCAAGAATAATATTCAGATTTTTATTTTCATTTTCCAAAACATGAATTATTATTCTTTCCTTATTTTATGTAATTTGTACAATCTCATTTTCTACAAAAATAAAATAAAAATAACAAAAATGTGCACAAAAACGCGGCATTTGATTCTTGTTAATAAATTTCTGATGCAACGGGAGAGACTAGACATCTCTCGGAATTCCATTCCATTTGCTTCATTAAAAGGCCCTAAAAAATAAATATATTTAAGATACTAATATGTTAAAGCATATAACAAGCATGTAACATAAAGTACATACATTTTTCAAGGTAGATAATTTAGATAAAATTTCTTGTCCGCACCAGATATTAGAATTTTCATTTTGTGATTCTTTAATATTTTCAACATTATTAATATGAGTATTTAATCGAATTTTATCATTATAATCACATTTATTTTCTTCAATAATGATTCTTCCATTCTTATCGGTTCGCAATGGTATAATAGTAGAATTCAAATTGTCCATCGAAAGGTCTGCATCATAGGTAACCATTTTTACTTTTGATTTATTTAATGTTCGAATTTTCGATTTAGTATTTATAAATTTCCTTCTGTCAGGAGATGGTGATCTATGGAAGAGTTGTTCATTATACAATTCTTGATGTAAAAAAATTAATAGAAAATTAATCAGAATTAAATACCTAGAGCGTTCATCGCTAGATTCGATTTGACGTCTTCTCATTCGCAATCGACGTTGATAATGAGGATCTTTTTCACTCTGCGTGCGATAACGAGTTCCTGGTCTAAGAAACATTTTGTTTAATTATCACCATAATTCATATTTAAAATATTTAATATAATGTTATTAAAAATTACCTATTAGCATTCCATTGTGGTCTAGATTCAATAGTTCTTCTGGGCATAGATTTTGATCGAGGGAAAGTTTTCACGATAATATCTTCTGGTAAACCAATGTTAGTGGACCTTTCAAATTAACAAGTAAATCTTGCATATAACAATTAATAATATGTAAATGTTTCATTATAATTATAGTATCAAATAGTTGCATGTTTATAAACATTCAAACATAATGCAAATAAATATAACTTGCAATAATAAATAATGTGTATCCATGTAAATAAATATAAAATAAAAAAATAATGTTAAATCAATTATATAATTAAAATTATATAGATAAAATATAAAAAAAATAAAATTTCGATAAACAAAATGAAATAATAATTACCGCTTCTATTTGCAAGACAGAAGAATAATATCCTCTACGATTCTTCAACTTTTGAAGTGATTCAATGCATCATATTTTGACTCACTTTTCAATATCCCTTTTACTAGCATTTGTTGCATCCTTATGGTCCTTTACAGAAGTATCCTTAATGGTGCAGTTCTGCATTTTTTCCAGAAAATCTTGAAGATCGTTCTCTACATCTGTTTGTGTACCAAAATCTCGACCATTTGTAATCCTGTACTTGCTTGGCGTGAGCAATCTGTTTTCTACGATCATTGGTGGAATTTTGAAAGAATTTGAAGTAAAATTCGAATTTCCTATATTCTGTATAAGACTATTCAAGCCTACAGGTAAATTTGTGTTAGAATTATTTTCTAATTGTCTTGGTGTTGGAGTTAATACTAAATTGACTAATTGCAAATTCGCTTTATTGAGTAATTCTGAATCTTCGAGTCGACCACTTAATACAATCGCCACATCTTTACTGACAGGAACTTGAACAGGTTTTATATTATTCGTATTCTGTTCCAAATCTTCTAATATGTTATTATTATCACTATTATCGGTAAATATTTCATTATTGTTGTTGTTGTTGTTGTTGTTGTTGTTATTAAAATTATTATTTTCTTTTTCATTTAATATTTCTTGTTTATCTTTTTTATCTTTAACATCATCATTATTAATAGTTAGATTTTGTTGACTATTCACATTTAGACAATTTTTATTAAACTGATTTTCATTTAAAATATTAGATTCAGAACTTCTAGAGGATATAATGGAATTTTCTTCATTACTTTTTTCGCTTTTACGTCGAAATTTCTTTTGTTCTTTTGCCAAACGTTCTGCTGCTTCTAAAACTTCACGCATTGCTTCAGCTTGTCTTAATTTAGCCGCTTCTCGTTCTTTTAGTCTTCTTTGTTCTTCTTCGAATCTATAATAAAAATAATCAGATATTGAGCAATTAAATTCGCACAATAAACATAGATTATTATAATTTATTGTAAAAATAAACTCAATTCACTTGTACCTTTCTTTCTCTTTTTCTCTTTCTCGTTTGATTCGTTCTTCTTCTAATCGTTCTTCTCTCAATCTTTGCTCTTTTTCTTCTTTTTTCTGTCGATCTTTCTCTTCAAGTTGTTTTTTAATCGCATTCTGAAGTTCTAGAGCTTTCTGTCTTTTTGCTTCTCTTTCTTGAAGAATATTAGTATCAACAGGAATATTTTGACCACGAAGATAAGTTTTATTATCAGATCCAATTGAACCAACTGTCGAACAATCTGAACTGCTTGCACTCTCGTGATTAATAACTAAAACCTTTATAAAAACCAATAAAAATATTACAAATTTTGAATGAAAAAAATGAATAATATTAAAACAATTCATAAAAATAAAGAATATAACTTTTTTTCACGTTAATTAAAATTAATTCTAATTATTAAATAGAATTATAAAGTATTTCTGATAATCGTACTTGACTCGAATGTCCTAATCTTGACAACCAAGAAGGTGGTGGTGGGTCTCCTTGTGAAGTCTCTTGACCCCAGACACTACCCCACCTTGGCCTGTTCAGTTCTCCTATTTTACCATCAGATAATCTCCTCGATGGTGGTAATGAACTCTCAGGTGTTGTTTGATAAGGATTTTGCCACATTTTTTCGGCTATTTCCGTTCCTGATGACTTGCAACCAGGTAAAAATGCTATATATATAAAATAAAGAAAAAATTTTAATATAATTGATTAAAAATTTCAATTCAAAAAATATCATTTTTTAATAATTATATCTATTTTCACGTTAAATTTTAATATTGTATATATTATTTTTTATTACACAAATAATATAAATGATATAAATGATATATTTAAATAATATATTTAAATTTTATAATTATAATATTTTAAATATTGCACTATATTTATTTATATACCTGTATTATTTATATATTTCAAAATTTTTTAAATTTTATATTATATTAACTTACTTGTTTTCACTGATGCAGGTGCCTCTACAGAATCACTGGCATAACCGGAAGTTTCTCCTTCGCGTTCTTCAGCTTGCAGACCATAATGATTATTTTTTGAATTTTCACAACGATCGTATAGTCGTTGAGGTTTTTTGGAATTGTAATGCAATCCTTCTATAGCGAAATCTCGTTGTTGATCCTAGAATACGAAACAATCAATTTTTATCGATTCAATGAAAGCTAAAAAAAGAAAGAAAAGAGCTCGCGTGACAAAAGAGTAATATTATTCTATTTTTACATCAATATGTAAATCATGTTTAACGTATACATTTATTTATACTGAAAATTGGATATGATTACTGTACCGGTATGAGACAGGAACGACAAATCAGAACAGAATTCTGTGTCAATTTACAAGATTTATAGTGCTTCTTATTTAAAAATGGATTTCACATTAAGGTGAACAATTGTTTTCCCTTTACCAAATTTCATTATTTAAAATAGACAATCTTTTTAAAAGAAAATAAAATCTTTTTTAATATTTTAAATATAGTTATAATTTCTTTATAATTATTACAATTAACAATTAATTCTAATTAAAAATATTACAAATATTTTAGTCAAAGTCTATAAATATAGTCTATGTATTAAATATAAAATTGTTTTGATATTATATGTATACCTTATATTCAATATGAAAATTAGGGTATGTAGATAGTATGTAATTTAAGTATTAAGAAACCTGGTCATGCTACATAAGAGGTAATCAAGAGGTGAGTGAACTTTAGTTGGAAGATAAGAATCGATTTACCAGACTGCCTTACTTTTGCTTTCCCCTCACGAATAATAAGATACAATCACATATAGTTTTCAACACAATCTCAAAGTAGCAATTAAAAGTATTCATTTATTATTCTGCCATCAGATAAAATGGCTTTTAAAACAGATTATACATGTTGAATATTCAAAAGTAATCGATCATATAATATAAGATAATATGTGACATAGAAAATTCATTTAGGAAATAATTACTATTATTCTAAATTTTTTTATAATCGAATTTCGATAATTTAAATCTTAGGGAAAAAATTAAAATCTTTTCGCTGAAAGAGATGAATAGAGTTATCTTAATCTTAAAAGTTTGAATTATTAAGGTTTGACTATAAAGTATAAAAAATATTTAAAATATAATTTCATTACTTTCAGGAAATTTTAATTTAAAAATTAAAAAAGATTGCCATATATTTTTTTCACAAAAAAATATTTTAAAAATCAAAACATATTGTGCAGACAAACCTGACAAAGATATTGCTGTTGGTCCTTGTTATAAATTGGTGGTAAGCTGGGACTTCTATGTCTGATTTGCGATACTTCCGTTTGCTCGTGTAGATTTATCAAGCTACCACTATTGCAATCCAGATATTTTACATTTGTGCCGCTGTTTCCGGAACTTTCAGTTCCCAAGCTCTTCAGGCTGACGGTACTTCCGTAATGTCTATTAGCACGAAAAGGTTTCGAGGCCGATTGCTTGTCTTTCGTTTCCATTAAGGACATTCTTGTGCCATTCGGATAAGTGCTGCATTATGTATTTTATTAATATATCACAGCATAAAAGCAATTTGATTTATAATCAAGATGTCATTCTTTTATTGGAAACATTTAGTGTTACTTATTTAATGAATTATGGTCAAATTATGGTCAAAAAAGTATCTTATTCAAGCTTTAATATATTCTTGAATTATTTAACTACTTTTCAACTTCTTGAAAAACAAATAATTTTTATTGCAGAATTTATATATGCAGAATTTAATTTTATATAAAATATAATATTTAATCTATCGATCTATTTTATTTAATATTAGAATATTATTGAAGAAATGATCAATTGCAAAATGGATAGATATTTACTTGGATAATTTCTTAATATATATAATTTAATATATAATTTCTTAATTCTATGCCAATATTTTTTATAATATTATTAAGTATGCTTATTATTTTAAACTATAAATTTTATAAAATTTTGAACAAAATTTTATTACTTTAATATTAGAAATATTAATATAATAACAAAAATTAGTAATTTTTTTTAAAACAATAAAATTTTTTCATAAATATTTTTAATATTGATTTAACTATTTCGATTAATTTATAGTATGTATATATATGTATATACGTTAATGTTTTTTATAAAAGATTTATTTTAAAAAATAATACAAAATTTTACCATTAATGTTGCTTATGATTTGCATAATTTATTTCAATTTATTCTATAATATCTTATATTTAAATATATTTAATGCTTCAAGTTAAAAAACTGAAATTTATCGTGGTCATATATTTTATACTATTTTTATATACTTACCGGATGTTGGTGCGGATATTAACATTATTTTTCAGAAGACCCCAACTTCCGCCAAGACGTGCCATTTCTTCTATAGTATTCATATAAAATATTAATTTTCCATTCAATATTATTATATATAATAATGCCTTTTTTATATTTAATTCAATAATAATTTAATATATATATTAATATTTTATATAACATGTCATTTTAAAACAATTATTCATTTAAATTTAATATATTTTTAATACAAAACATAACTGTACTTTATGGTATACTTCATATATATTATTAATTCTAGTATTAATATTCTAGATCTTATTTCGATATTTTAGATTATTTCCAGCAAATATTATAAATATTTTATATATTCGTTAAGATTGTCGATTTTTGGATTATAGAATGATGGAATTCTGTAGTTACCTCTCTCTTTCGCCCATTGGATCCTCTTTTGTTCCACTAATGATGTTCTCCCAATCATTATTGGCGCGCGACACGATTTGTGCGAAAAGAAATTTGTACGATCGGTAATGACAATATAATCAAGTACGCAGAAAAATAAAAGAAAAATAATCTACATCAATCAATATTTATTTAACACGCGACAATTTTACCTATTCAGCTGTTTTCTTCAAATGAACATCATACACCAACGAATCAACGATCTTCCGATGCGATACAACTTCCGGCGCGAATGTCGAATTTGAATGTCAAAAGACGTTACACGAGTTCATCGCAGGTCGTGTCAATATTTGAGACTGCGGTAGGGCTGCAAGACTATACAAGATTCGATACATACACACACATGTAACTTATATTAAATGCGAAAGGAACGCGCGGTCGCGATTCGATCGCAAGGTACGTTTCTATGGGAACAATCGTGAATCAACCATGTATTATTGTCAGGGTCGATAATATTGACCAGACATACGAGATAAGGGATAATGACCTCCAACGTTTGTTTGACGGTCAAAGATCATATCTTCGACAATAAAATATGTATATATTACCTTCGATATAAGATCATAAAAAGATAAAACATTTGCAATGAATAAAGATTTAAATGTAGTTATATATATAAGAGATAATAATAATGTAAAACAACAAGATGCAACATTTGTAACTAATTGTACAACTTTAAATTTAATTGATGTTTCATCTTAGAATTTTGATCATCTTTGATCTCATTTCTTCTATTTAAGTTTTATTAAGATTAAATATATTTCATCTTAAATATATTTCATTATTTTATATTATTGTATAAGATTTTATTTTATTTTATCATTAATTTAAGATTAATATTTATTTAATTGAAATTTGATTTCATACAATACGTCATAGTTAACGATATATATCATCTATTATTAAAATTGTAAAATAATAATTTTGTAATATATTTTATTCCTTAACATTCAAACTTTTTTTTTATTAATTTTTCATAATTATTTTGACTATTTGCATAAGCTAAAATAAATTTTATCTTATAAATTCTGGCATTTAATAGATCCACTAGAATTAAAAATTATTATAGTATGATTTTAAGTGAAAATATATCATGTATACATGAAATACATATAATTAATTTAAAAATCTATATTTGTAATATATATTTATATTTTACATGTGTAGTATTATAAAGATTATATATATAAACTATGCTATTATAATATATGCTTTGTAAAATACTTATAATTTTATTTATATATTTATATACAAGTATAAAATATGTATAAAAATATATACAAAATATGCATCCGAAATTTAATTATTTTATTTAATTTATATATATATATATTTAATATACAAAAAATATATATAGAATTTGATATATAGATGTATAAAATATTTTTATTTACAAAATGAATAAAAGAAATAAATTCAACATAATTTAGAAATTCATGGCGTCATCTCGTGTTTAGTTAAGAAAGCTTTAAGTTAGTAATATGCAAGATATATATTTATGATATCACACAAAGAAAATAATATTATGCAAGAATCTTTCTCTCACGTAGTGACTCTCTTTATCTGTGATATTATAAATGTATTAATAAATATCTTCTCGTATATTTTATATTAACAAATCAGAATTTTCAATATCCAAACTAAAACTATTAATTTCTAAATTATTCGATATATTTTTTGTATTTAATTTATGGACAGAATATAATGTATTAATAGTTTATAAGAAAAAGAATAAATATAATGTTAATTTTATAATATTATAAATATTTGTTTGAAAAATACTGTAAATGAATTTATACGCAATAAAATATCAAAAAAAGTAAAGAAAATAGAAAATATAAAAATATAAAAAATTATAAACATAATATAAAAATATAAATATATTATGATATATAAAAATAAAAAAATGTGTGTGTGTGTGTGTGTCAATAATATTTTTAATTGAAACACATAGATATTCATATTGTTGAAAATTACATGGATTTCATAAAATTATGTTTCATTTATAATACTTATGTTTTATTTATAATAATAATATATATGTGTATTTAGATATATGAAATAGAAACATGTGTAATTAGCTTAAATAAATTCTAAAGAAAATTTAAGATTTAAATGATGTTAAAATTATAAAATATTAAAATATTTGAAATTATAATTTATATATATAAAATTTTAAATTT